TTACCATCATTTTTTGTTTAAAATTTATCTTAAATTTATTGTTATTTTTTTAATTTGTAAGAGAGATAAATATTTATTTATTTTAATTTATCTTTTGACATTATTTACCTTATCATCAAAAAGCTTTTATCTTTATTTTTTTCTTAAACATAGATTATAAAATTTTTAATCTGTAAAAAAACCAATACTTAAAAAAAAAAAATTGAGATGGAAGGAGTAACTAGTAATAATATGAGGGACATTCACTATTTCTTCTCTTAATTTAATCAAAATTAGGAGCCTTTTATTTTGTTTATTTTTAATTGCATCAAGAATTCGGACTTGATTACTATCTTTTCTTCTTCTTCTTCTTCTTTCGTATCAAGGATTGAATAACATCCTTTTTTTTTTTTGGGTACATATTGAATAACATCTTTAATAGAGAGACAATTGTAAAGAAGAAAGGAATAGAAAACTTAAAAGAGAAAGATCAAAATTAAGAGGTCTTAATATTTACATTAAAATGTTAGGAATATTTGTAAAATTTTTTAAATATAATTAATAAATTTTTTTTATGTGTGTTGATTTATTAGGAATATTTAAATTTATTATTATTATTTTTGTCATCTTAATTATCAAAATATCTTACTTTTTTTTTTATAATTTTTAAATTAAAATAAATTAAAGAAAAGTTTTTACATACTTTAGGGCTGTCATTAGTTTTTTTTTTTTTAGTAGTAGTAGCCATTTTCAAATGGGCCACCCTATCTCTTAAAAGTTTTGGGTGAATATGGTGCATTTGGTCCGCAAAATAAGCTTAAAAAAGGAAAACAACTTGTTTTTTCAAAGAGGAAGTTTTTTTTTTTTGGAAGTAGGACATTCCAAGCCACCCAGAACCTTGGGTTGCTTTCGAGCTACTTCAGACTATCTAAATTGCATCCCTGATCCCTCTTTTTTTCTACTTTTGTTATGACAAATTGCATCCCTCATTGGTTCTTTCTGCGCATTATTTCTCCTCCTCCTTTTTTTTTTTTTAATCATTAAAAACATTATTTTCTCCCAAAAAAGGTCAGCATCAGGTGAGTTAAAAAAGTCACTTAACCTAAAACATTTTCACGAAAAATGCCAAAGGGTAGTGCTTACATTTTCCTTCTAACCCTTGACGTTTTACTAGTATATTTTAGTTTTCTTTTTTTTAAGAGCAAGAAATTTGCTATCAGGCCAATCAAGACGTTACACCTGTATAAATTAATGCAGCAGATATTCTCCAATGCCGAAATATCAGAGCAATTTAAGTTTAAAACTTTAAATTGTAAAAAGGCTACTAATTCATTCACAGCAAGAGACTTGTTTCCCAAAAATATCAGAGTAAGAATTGTAAAATTTAACGGCAACCCACATGCTAGGCTGGTAGGGTAGGACTTGGTTTGGTTGGCATGGCAACCATGCCCAATGGTACAAAATCAACAAAATAAAAGAAAAAAAAAAAGTCTAAACACCTAGACTAGAGCCTCACATTTTGGTTTTCCATTCAAGGAGTCGTATGATTTGGCTATTTT